ATATCAGCTCATCATCACAATCCTTCCAACCTTATTATAGGCTGGTAAATTTCCTCCTAGCCTTCAACCTTTGAGGCCCATTTTTGATATGATATGATGTTATAACAGAAAAATTCTCAACCAGATCAAGTGTATCATATCATTTGTGATTTATCTAATAAAAATATGACATTTGAATGGTATTGAATATAAATTAATTTTGATATTAATGATAGTAGAGAAAGAAAAAACAAAAAAATCAAATATGTATTCTGTTATAAAAATAAAATCAATTAAAAAAATATCACACAAGATTTTATTTAAATTATTTAGAGTATTTTAATTCGATAGATAACAATGACGTGGACGTGGTGCACCAATTCTATATAACTATTTCTCTATTATAACATATTCTAACTCACCTATCTCATTTGAAATTACTTTGATAGACTTGCCTAACCCAGACGTCTCTTCATATATGTTATATGTGATGGGATAAATATTTTAAATTACTTCGCCACAATTAATTAATTCCATAGAAAGCCTAGGACATAATCTCATATGATGCATGATGTGCCTGGTTGTGTTTGATTCCCCTTCATAAACAACTATGCCACCGAAAGCTCTGTTTAAAAGAAAGTTTTTATGAGGTCCAAAATAAAAGTTTTGAAAAGAGTATCTAAAGGCCCCCAATTTAATATATATAATAGTCAATTGTAAGAAGTCAATATAAAAAAAGTGCTTTGTTTATTTCTTATATTTTCATAAAAGCAATGAATCTCCCAACTTCGCCAAAAATCTATTCACTGACTCCTCAATGATTGATATTAGGCCCAATCTGATTCACACAAATTTTTTAAAAATAAGTTTTGAAAAAAAGAATTTGTTTGAATAATTATTCTAAAAAGTATATTTAAAATGGTGGAGTGAAGAGTGAAAGATTAATTTGTTTTATTGAATGTCCTTAATAAAAACATAATATTGTCCCCAGTCCTCTTCTCTAATTTTATAGAACAAAAGTTTACAACATTAAAAAGATTTCTAGTTTTTTTAGAATAAATTTTAATTTTTTATTTTCCAAAGCTCAACTAAAAACACATTTTCAAACAGGTTTTTTTAAAAAAATTATTCTCAAAATAGAAAATCAAACAAGCCTTTTGATTTAAGGTTCTTAACTATTTTGATGGCTCACTACTTTTTTACACGACTCTTTTTTTCTTTTTCTTTTTTTTTGAGCAAAAACATGACTCTTTTCATGTATTCATGATTTATATGGTATTATATGACTAATGGATCAAGTTTCAAAGTATTAAATCTATATTTAAATTAAAACTAAAAATTCTCAATCTAATTTCACTTTTTATTTTTATTTTTTAATAGGTTTTTTTTAAGAGATGCACAATTTAAAATAAAAAGAATCTTTTAACCATAATTCAGGCAAAAAATATTGTTTAAAATTATAAATAAAAACTTTATATCTAAACCATATAATTTAATTTAAAGATATAAATCTTATCACAATGATAATACCATAATGAGCCAAAATTGCACCCTAAATCCCATCCAATCATTAGTTATAGTTAGATATATAAACCTGTTGATGAGTCTTTAATATGTTCTTGGGTCATGAATCAATATCAACTCATCATCACAATCCTCCCAACCTTATTATGGGCGAGTAAATTTTGTCCTAGCCTTGAACCACTACAGCCCATTTGATAATACACATTATTTACATACTTTATTTATTCATTTAGAATCCATTTTATATTTTATGTTCTCCACTTTGGTGCATTTAATTTGCAGTCTTAATTGTGATAAAATCGCGTAAGGGACAAAATTATGCACTAAGAGTGTTTTGGTCTAAAAATTTAACTTTTGAGAAAATGTACAAAAAAATTAGTTTAAATGTGTTTGATGCCTAGGAGAATAAATATGAAATCATATTTTAAGAATTCAATGTGGTTTGGGAGATATTAATTAAAAATTATAAAATTATGGTTGTTGACTTTATTAACTTAATTAGGGTTTTATGCATGTGTGTGTGCATGATTTTCACGTGGGGCAGCCTTGAATTGAATTCTATTATTTCTCTCCAATTTAAATAATTAATTTCATGTGCCTAATTATCAATTATTATGTCAAATGTATTTATTTGATTAATTTTATTCATTATATGACATAGGTGACACATAGGCATTTGGACTTGTATCAATTAGTTAAGGAAGTGCAAGAGGGCCTTATGGACTACAAGGTAGCATGCCAAATGGCTAATGGATGGGGTAGATCATATTTCTTAGGTGCAAAGCATGTGAATATTCATATTAGCATAGGAATTATCATCCAACTAATAAAAAAGTGCCATTTTAAGGGCATGTGCACATAGTATGAAGCTCTCCTTTCATTTTAATTTCTTTTTGAATTAATTTTTTGAGCCAAGTCTGATTCTCAACATGCCACTTAGCCTCTCTCATTAAGTAATTTAGATTCAAGTACTTATTTTACCACATATTCATTCATCGTTTTCATTCGTTCTCTCTAATTCATCTTGTTCTTCATTTTCTCTATCTTCTCTCTAGAAACCCTAACTTTCCAACTACTCTATCTCCATTTTCAGCCATCAAACCTCCATAAAATCACTATTGTTCCACCCCTCTCATTGAACCGACCTCACCCCTATCAATTCCATAGAGATTGAAGCTTAGATTCATCATCTCTCAAGGAGCACTACATGGCTAAGTTGAGTTCTTGGAGGAGCAAGATGATCTTGATAATTTCTAGCTAAATTTTCCATAGAATCTTAGGGAGGAGTTGATGGAAGAGGAGTACTGAAGTCTACATTTGGCTAAGCTCTACTTATTTTTCATCTTATTTCAATTTTACTAGAATACTATGACTATGATTGATTGTAATTCAATTTGACTTTAGTTTTATGGTTGGCTGCAAATGTTTGTGTTGAAACAAGGTTGTTGACTTGAATTTCATGTCTTTTTGTTGCTGGACAATTCGGCCGCTTATTGAATTTACATTGTAATATGTGATTTCAAATGGTGAATGTCTTATATTGACCTAGCATGTAATTGTTTGGTAAATGCGTGATGAATTGCTCAAGTTGCATAGTCTTGTGCTTGAGTATCCTTTTGATTGTGGCTTTAGGAGAAGAAATTTGACTAATCACTTGGTTAATCTTTAAGTTAAGCTAGTGAGATTATTTATAATTCACACTTAAAGAACTGAATTGGTGAGGCTAGATTACTTAGGATAGTTGTCTTAAGTGATCACTTTTTTAGTCAAAGGGGAGAAGTTGAGTGAGCTGCCATTATCATTTAGAAGCTAGGATTCCTCCATCAACAATGCCCTAGGGTTGTTTTATTGTAATAGGGAAGTCCACCAATCTCATTTAGATTTAGTTTGGTAGTTTAATTCACTAGTTAACTAGGTAACAATTTCACTCTTTTGGTTAATCTATTCACCAAGTTAATTTACCTAGATAGTTCAAATCACCTCCTTGTGAGAAGACCTAGGATTGACCTTATGCCACATTAGGTTTAATTCTAGTTAATTTTGAGGGTTAAGTGACTACACTTCATCACCATTAGATGTTACAACATATTCTAATTCACCTATCTTTTTTTTGGCTAATTAATTCACCTATCTCATTTGAAATTATTGTGATAGACTTCCCAATTCTCAGGTAGAGCTATCAATTAGGGCTGAGCCTATTGGGCTAGCCCTTTTAAGCTTGAAAAAATCTAGGGCTGGGCCATTTTTTTGATGTGTAAAATGGTAAATTGGGCTTAAAAGGGTTAAGCCCAAAAATAAAAGGGTCGGCCCTTTTAAGCCCTCTTATATTTTTTTTAAAATTTAATATAAAAAATAAGTACCACAAAACTAAATGTTATGTATAATAATTGATAAGGCGTTACAAGGAGAATGATCAAATTATATTGATATTAATAATAATGAAAATCATCAAAACTTAGCTAATGGTGTTAGTAAAATTTAATTATTATCGGTGTTAATTTTGCAATGTTGCTACTTTTGATTAAACTTAAATTTATTATTGTGTCTATTATCTTAAATTTATTGTGCTAGACTTAATGTTATGTGTAATGACTTTTTTGGGATTTTAAATATAATTTTTAAAATTTTAAATTGAAAAATGAAAATATATATATATATATACATAGGGCATAGGCCTTGAGGGTTAGGGCAGAGTTGGCCAAAATAAAACCCTAAAGTAAAATTGAGTTTAACAAGGCTAACTAGTTTAGACCCTTTTCTTTCTAAAACCGACCCTAATTAACAGCTCTATTCCGATGTATCTTTTCATAGATTTTTTTATTTGTGCAAAATAGTGTGCGCGCATATATGCTAGCTGTGATGGGATAAATATTTAAATTAATTTGCCATAATTAATTAATTCCATAGAAAGTCTAAGACATAGTCTCATATGATGCACGATGCACTTGGTGTGTTGGATACCCTTTGATAATTAATTATGACTCCTGAAGCTTCGTTTTTAAAAAACATTTATGAGTTCCAAAATAAAGGTTTTGAAAAAGAATACCTAGACACCCTAATTTAGTATATATAATGCTCTTTTCGTTAAAAAATATAAAGCATTTTTTGAGGAATTTGATATTAAAAAATGTAAAGCATTTTCAGTCTTTTGAGGTGTAATAATTGTTTTTTTTCCAAAAGTATCTATTGATAATGACTTTATATTTGTTGTACGGTATTTAATAGAAATAAATATAAAAAGATAGAATTAATTTAAAAATAGATAACTATTTTATTTTGGGGTGAGAGAACGGAGGAAGTAGTCAATTGTAGGAAGCCAATATGGAAAAAAAAAAAAATTAAAGTAACCAATTTCATTTGGAAAGCAGCAATTACAACAGAGCATGAAGTATAGTACTATATATCGGGACGAAGCAATACACATGACAACTTCTACTCACCCGTTGTTTATTTACATCCATTCTAATTCATATTTGATAAGCACACCTATTTAATTATCCATGACAGAGAACAATTAAATGGAATCAAATAAGTAATATTATTTGATACACACACCCATACACTGGCATTAATGAAGGATCACATTTGATTCTTTCTTAAACTTGATATCCCTTAGGAAAACACTTGTCAAAGCATTGTTACTCTGCAGAGAAGCCTTTAGCAGCTGAATAGCCTGGTAGATAAGGGAATATTTAGAGCAATAGGTAGAAAAAATAGAGGGGAAATATTGTCAAGTCGACACAGTAATTTTAATTACCCCAAAATCTCATGAAATAAATAAATTTTTATCAAATCCCTTAAATGCAAATAAGTTTGTCTATGCAATTACAAAAATACCATTATCAATTTTTATCCCTTCAAAAAATACAACTCATCCACTGTCAGTTGCTAAATTGCTCTAATCGGCCTCCATAGCCGAAGAGCAACCACTCACCACTGCCAGTCATTCACGATTGGAACTTCGACGTCCAGTGGTGGATGAGTTATACTTTTTTTTTAAAAAAATGTGATAAGAGTATTTTTGTTACTGCATAGTTAAATTTATTTACATTTAAGAGACTTGGGACTTGATAGCAATTTATGGATTTCAGGGGACCCACATGTACACCACATACATATATTAAAACTTACCTCTTGGATTCCAAACTCAACAACCATTTCTTGCAGTGAACTGACATCTTTGATGTTGTACTTGTTGAGCAAAGCAATACACGAGATAGGAGACATAGGTTGAACCACAAGATCATCCATTACCATATATGTCACAGCTTCCTTCACAAACCCATCCTTTCCACCAGGACCTTTCACTTCTGTCTTCATCTTCCCCACATACGTCACAGGATTGTTCATTGAATTACCGCAATGTGGACACCGCGTGTTCACCTCCTGAGTCACTTTGAATTGACACCTATTCCAGCACATGTAAAGATTAGGAGGCTTGTCTTCTTCTTCTTTAACGTTCCCTTCATAATTTGGTAGCAAGAGGAAGCCAGGAGGGATTAGGGTTTTTGGTTTCAATAACACGTCTTTGTCTTGGCTCTGTTGCAGTAAGTATGCGTTGTTGAAATTCTCAATGCTTTCATAAAGTTTGACTAATGAACCCACAGTGTTGGTTTTGGTTAGGAGGTTCATGATGGTGCCGATCGGCAGGCGCTGGATGTTGAAGAGGAAGTCGACGAAGTCTTTAGATGCTTCAGCAAAGAGAAGTCTCTCAGCTTTTGTGTCAACTAAAAGCTTCAAGGTCATTTTTGATGTGGTTGATGATGATGTCGTTGCTGTCGTCATTTGTTAACTATGAATCTATGATATTAGCATGAATAAGTATATGAATTACTTTATATAAAAAAAGTATATGAATTAGTGAATAGCTATAGCGAGATCAATTTTGCAATATCTGAATTTAATTCATTTAAGAAACATATTTTCTCTAATCTTATTTATAAGTCACTTCTAATATTTTTACTAGAATTAAAAAAAACTTTAAACTTCATTAGTTTAAAAATTCAACAACTTTGTAACAGAAAAACAATTCAACAAATTTCCAAATTTACCCCCTGTTAAATAATATTTTAAAAATAAAAATATATTAGCACTTAATAACCTTGTCACCATTTAACATAAATAAAAAGGGTAAAAATAGACAAACACTCATTTAAAAGTCTTATAAATAAAACCAAAATAAATATTCTCTCTATCTCACAAACAGTAAAAGAGGGGTCAATGCTATAGAAACTCTCTTGGAATCAACTTTAGGAAATGAAGCCTTTTTAAGTTTGAATTTTGAAATATAAAAGATATAGGATATTAATAAAGAAAAAATAGGATGATTTTTAAATAATCCCCATGGCTAATGATAATATTACTTTTAGCAAAATATACTAGCTCGTTGAATATGACTTGAACTATATATGTTTTCCTTTTATTTTTTAAAATTTGGAGTCAAGCTTCTTTTCAGTTTTTTTTTGGTGGGTTAGGTGAATATTAGCTTCTTTTTTGTATATTTGAACAAGCCAACAAGATTTACCCAAATTGTGTGTGTGTATTTGTGTCTAATCTTAGATATTTGATATAGCATTCATGCTGTACCCAACCACCAGTGAAAAGGATAGGAAGAAAAAAAATATAAAATTAGATCCCTTGTGGTATTGGCAATATTTTATTTCATCTCAAATTTTGTATCTATAAGAAATAAAATATTGAATGAGAATAGTCTTAAATTGAATATCAAAAAAACCATGTTTAACTCAATTCAAAATATCAGAAATAATTAATTTCTTTATTTAGGACTTGATTGTAATAAATTCAATATTTAGACAATTACATCTCAATTCAAAATTAACGATGCCACTTGAATCTCATATCCTTATGGATCATACACCAAATTATAATAAATCCTCAAAGTTTTCTTTGAACAATACAAAAAATTGTGATTATTTAAAGGGAACCTATTTCTTTCTTTTATATATCTCTTTTCATACTGAAACACACTTTTGAATAGAAACAAGTCTTTATTCTTTTATTCTATATATCATACGTACCTATAAGGTTTTTGAGCTTGAGATGTTGGTGATGTCAGAGCTTATTAGAACCACGATGTAAGTCTTCTGTTGATTATCAAATTGACATAGAGAAATCAATAATAGAGAAGGAAACGTAGCACATGTTAACATTTGAGAAGTTTGAGGTTAATTATATATATGCACAAGGTTGTGAACGTTACGTGAAAGCACAATAATATTAATTTATGACTTTTCTTAAGCTTTTTATAGGTAGGATTCTTTGGAGACGAATATAATTAATTCTTTGCATAATCTTATGTTGTTAGTGTCTACTCTTCTTTGAATTCTTTGCTTAATCTCTTGTTGTTAGTGTCAGCAATCTTCTTTGAATTCTTTACTTAATCTCATATCATTAGTATCTACTCTTCTTTGAATTCTTTGCATAATCTCATGCCATTAGTATACACTGTTCTTTGAATAAAAAATTAGGATAATAAAATTTTTAGTCTCTCAAATTTGCTTTGATTATCAATTAGGCTCTTTAAATTTAATATTTATCATTTTAATCCCTTAAGTTTGTGGCAATTATTGATCAAATCTTAATTTTTTTTTTGAAAGCCTGGTCTTAATTGTTTTAAAAGGAAGTAATTAATACTGTTAAAATCTATTAACATGAATATTGAAATATTAATGATAGCAATATATATTAATAAAAAAGTGTACTTATTTAAGTAGGAAAAAATAGACTTAATTAGAAATTCTAAAAAAGTAAAAGAACAAAATGCAGTATAAGAAACTAGATTAATAAAATTAAATTAATTTGAAAGTTAATTTATTTTCATTTAGCTACATATACATACAAAGTCATCAACATATTTTACATATCATAACAATTTAGAAAAAAGTAATCTTAGGTACTTTAACTTATTTATATAAGGTCTTGGTTTGATCCCTTAATTTTATAAAGTATATTTTTATTTACTTAATTAAATCTTAACCTTGACACAGTTATTAATTAATCTCAAATAATGATTTTTTGTGTCAATCCTCATTATTATTTTGAAAATTTAAATTTAATATATCAACATTTAATGATGGGAAAATGACAATAAAGTTCCACTAGTTTATATAAATGACAATCTAACCCCTCAAATTATTATAATTTCACTGAAGTCCCTAGGAACGTCTATGTCAATAAATTTTAAAATGAAAAAACTATTTTACTCTTATTGAAAATAAAAAACCTCAATCACAACTTTTGTTTTGTGAATTGCAAGTGTAAACAATAAATCAAAACTTGTTAAGTCTAATTTCTATTATTGAAAAATAAGTTCTCAACATAACAAGCCCCAATCACAACTTTTACTTAAAAAATAACTTTTGTTTTGTAAATCGCAAGAGTTAAATAAGAAATCATAACTTGTTAAGTGTAATTTTTGTTATTAAAAAGTAAGTTCTCAAAAGAATAAGCCTCAATCACAACTTTTGTTTAAATAATAACAACTTTTGTTTAAAGAATAACAAGAATTGAATTGAATAAGAAATCACAACTTATCAATGAGGTTAATTTGGTCTTTTCAATTTAAAATTTATTAACATAGAAGTCCCTAGAGACTTCAGTGAAATTATGACATTAATTCGAGAAACCAAATTGTCATTTATATAATTCGAAAGAATTTTATTATCATTTTTCCTTTAATAATCTTTTGTCGACATTTAAGAGTTTGATATCAATATTTTTGTTAATGAAACTAACGACGCTAGAGTTAAAAAATTGAAACAATACTTTATAAAATTAATATATCAAAATAAAATCTTTTGTAAAATTAAAGGATCAAATATGCACTTTTTTGTTGTCATTAATTTAAGAGCTATTTAGTGTTTTAAAACTTAAAGAAGTAACATAATAAATTAATTTAAGAAAATTTAAAAGATTAAATTGATAAAAATTAAATTTAACGAACTAAATTAATAATTGAGACACATTTAAATGACTAGAGGTTCCATTGTTTTTTTTTTAAAAAAACTCATCTCCACAATATAATCCTTCCAAATTTCAACATTATTATGGGCTAGTGAATCTCTTTCTGACCTTACACCACTAAAGCCAATTTCAGATATGCTATATTATCGTATTGTAATAGATTTTTAAAATCTTGTATAAAAAAATGTATTATAAAAATCTAACTCACCTATACCCTTTAAAATTACTTTGATTAATTAAAAGACTTGTCTAACTCAAGTGACATCACTTACTACATTATAGGTTCTTTATTTGCATACACACATGATGTATGTACATTTATGTTAGTTATAATGGAATAACTATTTAAAATTAATTTGCCATAATTAATTTCATAAAAAGTTTTGATAAATTCTCATTTCAGATTATTTGTCAGTGAAAAATTTTCTTAAAATATCAATCTTTCTTATTTTCCCCAATAATTTTGAAGATATAGACTTAAATTTTATTATTAGCTAATTTTTTAAAAAGAAATTCACATTATATACAATGCATTGTTATTATATCTAGTTTTGGTTCCCTTATTACATAGATAAATGCCTGATATATTTAAGTCCATTATGAGTCTCATTGACTAAAGTAGAGAGTAATCATATTAGGTTATAAGAGAGAGGTCATATTCAAGTTTTATTTGGAGCCATTTGAGAGAGAAGAAGAGATAAAACTATCTTCGCATTTTCATAAAGAATCTTAACCTCAAATTAGTCAAATAAACCAAATTATATGATGTGTGGTTTGAGAGGGTTAACAGGTCTTGATTGTAGCCTTAGGATTGGGTCTAAATGATAAGCCACTTAGGCCTTAAAAGAGGAAGAATATATGAGGAAAGATGTCTCTGTGCATGTATTTTGTGAAAGCCCACTCAAGAGGGGATGAATTGAGTTTTATAAAAATTTAGCTAATAATAATAAAATTAAGGAGATAAGTTTAGAACGATATCACCAAACACTGAGAGGAGAAAGGAAGAGAAGCTTGCATAGATATTTATCTTGGTTCAGCTCTAACTACTTGAGCCTTCATCCAGTCCTCAAGTAGTAGTTGAGATTTTTTCTACTAACTCAACCAAGATTAATCTGAGCTCTTGGTAGCTACAGTACAATCCTTGTCACACCCGATACTAACAGCATAACCGACACAAAATATGAGATAGCCTCACATTCCATAAGCCTTAATTAGCCAGAAATTTAAGCTAAATTATTGATATATAGTTTTTATATATGTTTATAAGGTTCATAAAGTCTTAAATATTTTGTAAAAATTTTGATAGAGTCTTCCCTGTAATTTGGACCTTCCAAAATTTCTATAATATCAAAACCAGCTAATCAAGCTAGCAAAGGGGACTAGCTCTACTCCAGTAGATCACATATCAATAAAATAAAACTAGGACTTAATTATGGCATACGTGAAGCACTAAACTAAAATTTTCCTAATACAAAATATATTTACATCCAAAGTAACTAATGCATGCTTCTACCATTCCAAAAAGCAATAGAGCCCCTCAATGTTTAGTTGGAGGTACAGGGTCAGATACAATATCTGAGATCAAAAAAATTTATAGTAAGTAGCGTTCCAATCAGAATTACAATTAAGATAATTAAGAAGATCAAACTAATAAATTTAGTCTAAAACAATTTTATGAAATAATGAAACATATACTTAATTAATGATAAATATTAATTCTTTTCAATAATACAATTATAAAATTAAACAATACTAATAGAACAATATAAATTTATCAAGATTTGTACTACTCAAAGAATATAATAATTCCAAGTAATGACACAATTAGGTAAAATGCTTTTAGAGAATTTATAGAAATAATAAATTTAAATTTAAAGTTAGGAGGGGTTTATCAAAATGAATAACAAGCGTGGACACACAGTCCATGAGGGAAAAAGCATGGACACACAATCCATGAGGATAAGTAACAAGTCAAGCGTAGTTGAAAGCCACGGAATAAGTACGGCAAGAGCTACAAATCAAGTGCAGGTATGAAGCCCATGAAAACAAGCGTGAGTACCATGCTCATGAATTACCATCCCTCCGATCCACGTGCGTTGGCCTTCGCATGGGGGTAGCACCTCCTGCAAGCACCTTGCTAACGAGGTGTACCATGATGCGCTAAGGGCTAACAGAACTACCGTTAACATCCAGCGTTTTGAACTCAGTTTCTCTAATTAAATCAAGCGTATATGGAGTTGAAACATTTATTTAAAGCCATTTTTTTCAAAACGTAATATTCAACTATCAAATTTTTTTTTTTCAATTTTTCTCCATGCACGAATCACCATTTTGACCTCTGTCATATAAATTATAAAATTTAAACAATAGAAATGCTTAGAATAAAGGATCCAAATATTCCTTAACAATAGCATAATTCTTAATGAAAATAAAGCAAATTCTAATTTCTATAATGAACTAATTAATATAAAAGTGAGGTAAGTAAAAAGAATTGTATAAATCATAAAAATAGAATTAACAAGATATTTATACAACTTTTAAAGGAATAATATAAAAATTTAAATAAAAAATTTTTATAAACACTTTGCAAGAAATTATTTGGAATGCTACCCACTCATCTGAGTTTCCAAAAATCTTATAGTTAGACTCGCTAAATTTCTTGCTTATGCCAATGATGCCCCAAATTAATCTAACACATAATAATCCAACAATCCTCATATCATTTTGACTTTTCCTTCTCATAATAAACAAGTAAAATTAACATTTAAAATCTTTAATAATCCTTGAAATTTCTCATTAATCCCTTAAGTTTTCACTAAACCCTTCAACAACTTCTATCAGGTAATCAATAACACTAGGCAACATTCAACCACCACCATTAATACAACTCTTATTCTAAGCTTAGCAAAATCTTAATTATCATTTAGTATAATAATTTCTGTTTAAGTGCTATTCAACTTTACAATTTATATTAAGACATACACTTCCTCGTGTAGTATATAAGATATCTCTAGGCATCCAATATGAAAAAATTAAATAATCTTATTCTCATCAACTTCCTCTTTCAAACATTCTTACCAATACCTTGGGGTACTCATCATTGAAAAATTTATGAGAAGAGCAATTAAGTAATTCCAATAACTTCCAAACTTTTAATTTCATAACCAAAT